GTTCCAACTTCCAGACAAGCATGTGGCTACGCAGGTTTAAAACGCGTGACGAAGGCTGAGCGGTGGATGGAATTGCTTACCATGAATTTCATGTTGCCCGTGCCGGAGGCCTCAGTTCCGGCGGTGGAAATCTGTTGTGAAAGTTCCGCTGCAGGGAAAATTTTCTCAGCCAGGGATACGCGGTAGTTTTCCAGGAAAATTAGCTGATGGCAGGACGAGGGAGAAGGAGGAGGAACAGAGTAAAGGAAACAGGTTAGGGTTGACGGCAAAAGAAGTCCCACGAAGTCACACGGCGGAGCTAGAATCGCTATGAACAGGAACCAGGAGTGGAGTAATTGGACGAGTAGACGTGGTTATGGTGAGATTAGAGAAGGGGGAGGGGAAGGCATGAATAAAACTGGGACAACTACTGTACCAGGCTGTTCGTACGTTTTCCTTCAATATCTGATATTGTTTTTTTTTGACTGTTTGTGGACCCTATCAACAGCGAACTGAGGTTGCTTGCCTTCAGATGACAGTCAGATCGAAACTCTGGAAAGAAACACAGTTTCATGCCTGGGTTCCCGCCCATGGCAGCCCCCTGCCAGTCAGTCGGCGTGCGAATGTCTACTTAGCGAGTCCAGTCGAATTAGAAGGAAAGAGAAATTAGGCATACTTTAAATCCTATTGGTCAGTTTCGCCAATAATCCTTTTTCCTATTGGTTCACTAATTGTGTAAATGAAATCATACCATAACATAACAAGCAATATTTTCAGACAGGCTTATTGAAAGGCAGTCCTGCACTGATGTGCTAGTATTAAGAATGAAGAAGTAGGAGCTGAAGATGATCTGCAAGCGAAGTAAATTAACGAGGGACTGTGGCAGAAATGATTTCATTATCATTAATATTTTGACTCGGTCACTCCTCAGTGACACAACTGGCAATCAGATCAGGCGCATTGGCAAATCTACCAAACAGCCTCTTCTATGCCCATGAATTTTGTTTACGAAAGGAAAGATGCACACAGGATTCCGGTGATGTTGAATAACTAACTCTCCAACTAGACCCTCTTTGGATTAATCAGCGGAAGAGTTTAACTGCGCCCGAATGACCGATAAACCAACGCGAGAAGCCTCTACACGAAGAGGACGGTGTTAAGCCTGCACCCGGATGCCGACTGACTGATCTCGACTACGTCGAGTATGCATCGCTTTACTAGCTTCAAGCTTTGGTGATCTGCAGGCTATGATGTCAAGGGTGAATGAGCTTGCTAAATCGATCGGTTTATCTATAAACGATGGGAAGACCAGTTTTCGAGTTGCATCCCTGACCAGAAGGCGCCTCTAGAGATTAGTGGCTGGTAACTCGAAGAAGTGAATAGTTTGGGGGTGAAGCTACTGCCGAAGGGACAAAGAAAAGACGACACTGTCACCCAAATCAAAGCTGCTCTACAAGTTTTCTCTAGCCTTAAAGTGTCCATGGCTTTGATGCGACAGCTACCTCGCCACGAAGATTCACGTGTACAATAAGTCCGTCCGGTCTGTCTTTTTCTGTGCTTCTGAATGCTGGACCATGCGCGTGGAATATGAACGAAAACTAGAAGTATTTGACCGCCACTGCTCAAGGACCATCCTTCGAGTACAGT